TGCTCCTTTGTGCAAAAAGGAACAGGATGAGCACTGCCAGAGCCCTACAAAATGACCTCCAGCAGGCCACTGGTGTGAATTTCTCTGACCAAACAATCAGAAACAGACCCATGAGAGTGGCCTGAGGGTCAGATGTCCTCTAGTGGGTCCTGTGCTCACTGCCTGGCACCATATAACTTGATTGGCATTTACCATTGAACACCAGAATTGGCAGGGCCGTCACAGAAAGGGTTTGGAGAAGCCATGGAGAACGTTATGCTGCCTGTAACATCATTCAGCATGACCGTTTTGGTGGTGGGTCAGTGATGGTCTGGGGAGGCATATCCATGGAGGGACACACAGACCTCTACAGGCTAGACAATGGCACCTTGACAGCCATTAGGTATCAGGATGAAATCATTGGACCCACTTGTCAGACCCTGTGCTGGTGCAGTGAGTGCTTGGTTCCTCCTGGTGCACGACAATGCCCGGCCTCATGTGGCGAGAGTATGCAGGCAGTTCCTGGAGGATGAAGGAATTGATACCATTGAATGGCCCCCAATTTTGCATGACCTAAATCCAATAGAACACCTTTGGTATATCATGTTTTGGTCCATTCGACGCCGCCAGGTTGCACCTCAGACTGTCCAGGAGCTCAGTGATGCCCTGGTCCAGATCTGGGAGGAAATACCCCAGAACACCATCTTTTGTCTCATTAGGAGCATTCCCCAACATTGTCTCAGGCATGCACACAAACACGTGGGGGGCCATACAAACTACTGAGTAGCCCTCAAATCCCTCTTGTATTGAACTGTATTGTCGCTGTATTGTCTCTCACTGTAGTGTAAAGCGCTGAGCAAACCGTTGGCGCTATATAAATCCTATATAATAATATTAATAATAATTTTGAGTTGCTGCAATGAAATTTTTTTTAGCAAAATAGACGCCTGCTGCATCATTTTTTCACTTTGATTTTCAGGGTGTCTTTGAATTCAGTCCTCTGTAGGATGATAATTTTCATTTCCATCAAACGATGGGGCATCCTTACGTTCCTAACACATTACCCAGTCCATATCAGTATAGATATCCAGCATGATATTTTTCCGCATTGAGATCTGATGTGTTTTCAAAGTGTTCCTTAAGTTTTTTTTGAGCAGTGTAAAGTGTAGACTTTTGTTGAGTTGTGGCTTTCTTGGCTTGCTGACAGGAATTTACACTTCATAATATTGTTGCTATCTGTGCAAAGAATCTCAGTGTAATTCTTAGAATTAGGTTAAACAGTTTCGGAGCATAGAACAGAAGTGTTGTATACATTGACACTCTATTAAAAGAGCAAAATATATAATTATTTATACTCACATCTACATATGTCAAAGTACAGCCAGATGAAGATTACTAGGACTGTGTGCAGCAATAAACTGGATATTTGCAAAGTGTAAACCCTAATTTAAAAAATTGTGAATATGTAGCTTACTTACTATTAGATTTAGTGAATGTTATGGTTTTTTAAAGCTTCTTTGTTTTGTACAGGCTTATTTTCTTATATTTGCACCTAGTGATTCTTTATACTTCCAGTCTAGGGTGACAATGGTGTCTTTGTTTTAGTTTTATGGATGGGCAACATTGTTGCCTTAGGCCGTGCAGTAGCTGATGTGTAGGCCATGACAAACTGGCCACATCACTACGGTCCAACATGCACCCACATCGATAGACACACCGAGGGCTGGTCCTGCATCTGAACTATGCGATAATTTACAATCTGCAAAAAATGTCTTTGACAAAAATTAACCCTCTTGTCGCCGCCTCCTGGCCCTTTAAGTAGCTTGAAGGGAGGCGGGTATTCTGATCATGTGACCACTGAGATTGGCTGTCATAACGGTCACATGATCGAAAGATCCCAAATGCAAGAAGGCATCGGAGGCTTTCTGTGACCAGTTTAATTACTCTGCTGGGAGCACACAGGGAGCTTGCTCTCAGCACAGTAAACTGTTTACATATAGACATACTGTATATGCGGCTGCTTGGTGTTAAATCCCACCTGCCGAGAGGGTGTCCATATGCATGTGCCTGGCGGGAAGGAGTTAAGACTGGATTTACATCTATGCATTGTAGTGATGCAAGTTATGAGCATTAGTGTGCTGTGCAGTGGACTCCATTTTGAATGGCATCCCAATGCATCTGTGTTGTAGTACAGCACAATGCATGGTAATATACTAATGTGCATTGTGTGGTGCAGCATTGCTAAAAAATGGTGGATTTCTGTTTTTGTCTGACCTGGTCTATTGGAAACCAATTCATTTGAAACAGCTGCCTTGACCAATGCACTTTAACACAGAACGTGTGAATCCAGCCCCCTCCCAAAAATGATCCATAATTTTATTATAATATGTTATCATATAAAGTTAAGTAATGGGGTTTAATCATACTTTAAAGGACAAGGTTACCTTTCTATAAACTGACACTAAACCATCTTCTCCATCCCTTCTTGGCTAATCTGCACTAGCCCCATTCCCCTGCCCCTGCCCCCAGCTGCGTACTTATCTCCATATCACAGTAGCAATTAGTTCCAGTATTTACCTCCTTATAGACCTAAATTGGTCGGTATAGTGAGGATCTTCAGTATCAAGATATGTCCCTAATCAAATGTATGGTTTGCAAGGGTGGTTGGCCTCAGAAGAATTTCTGCAGAGAAAAGGTGCAAACTGGAGCTGCTGCTGTGATATGGCAGTAAGTAAGCAGATGGGATGGGGGCTTTGAATTGCAGTAAATTTATATAAATGATATCCTTTAGGTAGTTCTATTAAATAACTGACACATTTTTGTGTTGCCATGTGCTCCATTCTTTTCTACAGATACTGAAGATGATTATAGTGCCATTCAAGGAGTTTGAACTAGACTTGCATTTCCTTCACAATAACCACTTCCTGAAGGCTGGTGTGTTACAATGCTGTAAAAGAAAAAAAAAGAAGCTTCTTACTGATCATTGCCAGCCGTCACTGTGCAAATTAATGCTGTAAACAGTATGAAGTAGCTACACACAGATTTACCCCAGGGTTTAGAAAGAAGCATTAAAGGGAGATAGGGAAGGGATAATGCTGGTATTCATCAACCTAGAAAACAAGAACTCTCGCTTACTCCCTCAATCATTTGTGCCTAGTGTAAGGTTGTCGGTTGTGAGTGTACATTTACTCACCATGCTCAGACGCAGGTACAGGCTCTTTTAACTCCTTTCCCCACAACTCTGCCTTCAGTAGGGAAATTCATCATTCCTCCCTGCAATATTACATTTGGCCACTAGATGGAGCCCATAATAAATGTGCTGTTTTACAGAAATTAGAGACTGTACAGCCTCAATAAAAAGCTCCTTCATTCAAAGAAAAGGAAACAGGTGCATCCTGAGAGCTCAGACTCCATATTAAAGCGGAACTCCACTCAAAAGTGGAAGCTCTGCTTATTTGCTTCCTCCCCTTCTCCACTGCCATATTTGGCGCCTTTTGGGTAAGGTGGAGCGGGTACCTGGTTTTTACAGGTACCCACTTCTGGCTCAGTTTGCTGCAGCGAACTGAGCCGGAAGTTCAGCTCCTTCCTCCCTCCCGCAGTCTCCTGGGAACTTTCACAGGTCCCAGGAGACTGACCAATTAGGAAGTGCTGTCACAGCTGGGTGCCCACAGTTGAGATGCTGGTGCAGTGGAAGGAAAGAAGGGGAGAAGGGACCACACAGGTGAGAACATCACTGGACTCCAGAACAGGTAAGTGTGTGTTTATTAAAAGCCAGCAGCTACAGTTTTTGTAGCTGCTGACTTTTAATAAACACAAAAATGGCTGGAACTCCACTTTAAGAACAGAGGGAAAGGAACCAGCCATAATTCTCTGCAGCATATGTCATGGACTGAACTTGCATCCTCTACAGGCAGCATCATTGGTGAGCATGGATTTATTGCCATCTACAGCCTAATAGTTTCATTGAGTTTTGTATGTTTCATATATTGACAATGTATTTCTCATTTGTTTCTCAATTGTTTCAGCCCACTCTGTTTTGCTAACAAAGCTTCAAGAATAAATTCAGTCTGGCTTATTGCAGAATAGGAGAGTTTAGCTGCATGTCGAGTTACACACAGGGAAACGTATAGTGAGGACAGAACACTCTGGGTTCTTAAACACACAGAAAGAAACACACAAGAAAGATGAGTTTCTCTCCTTTGAGTTTCTTGATAAGGCAGAGGTTAGCTCGGCCAGTGAACTTTGCTCTCAAAATCAGCATTCATGTCAGTGAACCCACACACAGATTTAACATGTCCCCATTTGCTACCAGTCTATTCTAGAAATGGTAGCCCTCCCTGGTCCTCAAATCATAGACTTCAGCTGTTTCCCCTGTGCCAGAGACCCTGTTCACTGATCAGAATTTTTGTTGTCCAGAAGTAGTTATTCTCAGTCTAGACTTTCTTTTGCTATACAGTCTCATAGAGCACATTTTACCCTCATTTACAAATCTTTTCTATGACGAGCCCATGTTTGTGCACCTTTCATAATCTATTTTGTATTATTCTATAGTATATGCATACACTTTGCTATTCCGACCTGCTTTGCATTATTGCGTCTAACTAAGCAAATGTTTAGTAGCAAGTTACATTTACTCTCTGGTCATTCAGCTAATAACCCATCCTTTTAAACTTGGTGTTATGAATGGGCTTGGCCATGTCAGACAATGGTAATGTGAGTGGTGCAAACAGATTTGCCAGGTGGTGTTACACCAGTAGTAAGCAGACAACCTGCTGATCATGCAAAAATGAACTGGCAGGATTGCCACCATAACATTTACCCAAGTAAAGGCCAGGATCTGGATGATTGTTCCAAGAGATTACGGGGCCCGATCCAATCAAGTGGGATCTCACCTGCACAGCAGGCAAAACTGGCCTTAGAAGAGGAAACAAGTAGTTTAATCTTGCATCTCCTAGCAGGAGACCATGATTCCCTTGACAATATAAATAACCGCTTAGAAGTAGTTTACATTAAAGCAACAACATTAGGGGACCTTAGGGTTCACTTCAGTTGCATGATATGCACCAGTAATGCAAGACATAGCAGCAGAAACAGGATGTGGGATTGTCAGGAGCGTTACACACTTCCATGAGAGAAGCTGGTTTCATTCCAGCATCCTGGTTTTGGCTGAGCTGCACTCTTCCCTCTGTCTATCCACCTGCAAGGCAGCCTCTGGGTGGAGACCAGGGGCAGACTGACAACTCATGGGGAATCCTTGCCCCAACTCAAAAAAGCCTATGAAAAAGGTACCAGGGGCATCTCATGGGGCCCCCTACTAACCCCGGGCCCTCGGGCAGTGTCCGAGTTTCCAAATGGTCAGTCCGCCCCTGGTGGAGACCAAATGTTATAACCTAGACCACAGTCTCATGCTTGCGATAGTGTTTTTAATACGTACTTCACGCCCCCTGCTTCCCTTCCTTGTTCCTGTGCTTAGACCTGCATCTTAGCCCTACCAGCTTGTTTTGATTTCCTCATTAATGGATTTAGACAATGCTCAAAACTCCGCCTGCTTTTTGACCATGGTTTGACTCTGTCTACTCTTTCTACTCTGCCTGCTCTGAACCCAGCCTGTCACTGGACCTCTCTTCCTGTCTACGAACCGCAAGTACCTGTTCGTTGTACTTAGATTGCGCCTGCCCATAGCCAGATACTATAGCATTGTGTATAAGACATGGTGACAACGAAGTACTGGTAGGCCTGCTTGCCATGTGGGAAAGTGGGCTGCTATAAGTGAAGAACACAGCAGCTAGATATGATGCCTGATCATGTTATGGGTGGGCATGACAAGGACCAAGTAAGACGGCCTGGCTGGGGTGATGTAATAGATGACTGAAGGAACAATTTGATGCATGATTACTGCATGACAAGTTTAGAGAAACCTTGCAAGTGTGATATACAAGCAACCCCACTTTGAATTTTCTAGACCTGTTAGAAGCAGCCATAGCATGTAAAAAGCAGACATGTACAGGCTTGGATGCACCGATTGGCTATTGTAGGTGGTAAACTGATAGACACAGCTGCAACCAAACAGACATCTCTATGGGAGGTAAGTGACACAAGAGCTGGCCCAACTCCAGACAGAGTTATCAGCAGCGCAGACACATCCAGAGGCAAGGAGAGATGTCCTATCATGAAGAAAGCAAACACCACCTTGGAGGCAAACAAAGATAGCAAGATCATCATTCCCATGCTAGGGCTTTTAGGTTAGGCCACACCAGAGTGACTGCCCTAACCATACACAGAAGAAACTAATAAACTAGAATGCCCCAATGCCAGGAGTCAATCAGTGGCGCAACAAAGAGGTATAACTCCCCATTCAAGAACTGAATATGAGGAAGTTGTCTTCAATGGCCAAGACATTGATTTCGTCTGTGATACCAAAAACACTTCCCGGTCAAATTTGTTGTTCCAGCAATATTTTTGTAAGCAGAATATGTGCCCACAACATGCCAGGGATTTAATTGATAGCTGTCAATTAAATTCCTATTTCATACAGGAAACAGAAGGGTTTCCTGTATGAAAGGGGAGCTGTGGTGGCAAGCCAGGAAGGCACAGTGATCACACGTGCACCCTGGAGAGGGTGATCATAGGTGATGCTGGCCATAAATATAATCCAGAAGCTGAGGCTAAAGATGCTAAAGGGATGCCCTGCACACTTGGGACCATCTAAGGAAATCAGGCAACTCCTGGTCTGCAAGTACTAGACAGCCTTGATGTTTCTTCTGTAAACATCTGGAAAAAAATCTGATATTTTCAGGGTTCCCTTTGAGACCTAATTTGTGGTGTCACCTATTAAAGTGCTCTTATCTCTTCAGAATATTGGCTCTTGCTATGGATTTCAAGGATTTATTTTCCTCATGGAACCCTAACCCTCAGAGATGGCTTCATTTGAAACTAGGATACCTTGTAGTACAAACAAGCAAGAAACTTAAATAGAGAACAAAATGCTGACACCATGCTATTAGAAATAATGAAAGTATCCATAAAGTCCAAAGTAGGGCTGCAAAAAGTCCATATAGCACTAGGGCAAGTCTCCTATATTGGTAGTAAAATAGAGAAGAGAAGAAGTGCCTCTAAGCGCAGTATAGGTAACTTTAATGGGTAACAAATGTGAACAACTCACATATAGCATGTATAAAGCAGGCTGTCAGGGCTCCGGGGTGTGACCAGAGGTATGTGACTGACGCAGGGAAACGCAGGCTTCAGATATGTTATAAATATAATTTATTAACACTAACAATACATAAACGCAGTGCAATACTAAAACATACACAGTGCAAACGAACCAAACCAAAACCACCCACAGATAACAGTACATACAATGCAAGCGTCGTCAGGAAGGCCGGGATAATCAACAGGAGGTCAGAACGTATGGGGTTAAGCAGGAGAATGGTCAGACAAAGCCAAGGATCAGGAGCAGGAGAATGGTCAGACAAAGCCAGGGATCAGGAGCAGGAGAATGGTCAGACAAAGCCAGGGATCAGGAGCAGGAGAATGGTCAGACAAAGCCAGGGATCAGGAGCAGGAGAATGGTCAGACAAAGCCAGGGATCAGAGCAGGGTCAGCAACGAATCAGACAGGAACAGGAACAGGGAGCAGGAACAGGATACAGGGCCCAGGAGAAACACACACAAGGCAGAGTCTGCAGGTCTGGCCATCCCTTAAATACACCAGTATAAGCAGTTTCAGGTGTTTGGCTGGCTGCAAGATTGAGTCTCTGATTGCTGGGAGCACCCACTGGCCAGCCCTGGTACTGCAGCCCATAAAGCAGGTGAGTCCCACCATTGCTGGCCAGTCCATTCCTGACACAGGCTCAAGAAGATGGGAGAACGGCTGTGTCCGTGCTGACAGCTGCAACTGCACTCAGAAGATCGTGTATGTAGGAGAGAAGTCGGCCGGTGTGTGAAGTCTCCAAAAGATGGCTTCTGGAACGTTGAGGCGCGATGTCGGCGTCAACGTGATGACGTACATGGACCAGCATGCATAGCGACGTGTTTCAGAGCATTCAGTAGACCTCTAAGGGCGGAAGCGTGCTCCCTTATCAAGCTAAGGGCAGAGGCTGTGACTGTTCTAATATATACATTCAAAACGACACCAATTAAGCTAACAATACAAAATAACGATCATAATAATTAGGGTAACAATTACAGTGAGAGTAAAAAGGAAATCAATCAGGGCTAAAATAATATTAACAGGTTAAATATACCAGATAAAGACTGTTTGGAATTTGATCTCATCCACAAAGCCCTGGGGCCAAAGAAACCAGATGGCCCCCCCAAAGGATATTATTATTAAGTTTACTTTCTACCGCACAAAAGAAACGGTCCTGCAGGCAGCCCGGGTCAAACATAATCTCTGCTTCCAGGGCCATCCGTACCAACTTTTTGCGGATTTGGCACCCTCTACCATCCAGAAACGACACCAGATGAAGCCATAGATGTCAGTACTCCTGGATCATCGCATTAAATATCAGTGGGGCTTCCCATTCAAATTAACGTTTACCTACCAGGGCCTGAACCATTCAGTCTACAACCCAGAGGAGGCCAAGCTGACCCTGGAGGCACTCCAGTTTCTGTGCCAGCATGACACCACCAGCAGCCTAGTGCAGCTCTCCCTTCTAGTCAACTGGGTCGCATATGGGAGAATGTTTGGCAGTCCTAAGCGTTCCCTCCCCCCCCCCCCCCCCCCCCCCCACAGTGGTACTGGGTCCTGGCTAAGATTCCCCATGCTTATCCTGATGGCAACAATAGATTTTTTCAGAATTGTGGTCGGCGAGGGGACCTCTTACATACATGATGGTGGTCGTGCTGGCACCTGATTGGCTTCTGGTCCAGAGTCTTTGGCCTACTTCAACATTATTTCATGTGATGGTTGGTAAAGATGCTCAGCTGGCCCTTTTACATTGTCCTATACTGGGCCTCTCTGCAAAACAGAAGAAACTGGCCTCCTACCTTTATTTTTCTGCCAAATGAACCATTGCTCAGGCCTGAAAGATCCCATCTGTTACCATTTAAGGGGTGAAAGCCAGGATGACCGCTATGATTAATGAGCAAATGTCCAGTATTCTGAAGGACTCCCGTGGAAAATTTCTGAAAGTTTGGGAACCGTGGATAAGTTACTCTTTCCCGTCCCTGCCACTGACTAGCTATGGTTGACTGTAAACACCATTTGCTCAAGCCCTGTGCCCATGGTACTCGCCCTCTCCTGGGGCCACCTGTTTTCTTCTCTCTCCTTCTTTTTCCTCTTTTGTTGTTCCTTCCTTTCCATTTCTTTACTAATGTAAAGGGTAATGAATACTGAGGTCCCCTAGGGGACAGTGCAGTATTGTCTGAGATATTTTCCTAATTTTTTACCCTGGTCCTATTTGTTCCTGGTAACAATTTGCTATTATGGTAATTGTTATGCGTATTTACGCTGCTTCTTTCATGCCTGTTTAATGTCGCCCCTGTGCTGGCAAAACTATGGCTTGTCATAATCCCTTGAAATTTAAATAAAAATATTGAAACAGAAAAGTAAGAGTCCATAAGTGGTTTCATCCCTCGTAATGAGCAGGAAGGACAGCGCACACTGCTTTTATGTGAACTGCAGTCATCTCAATGCTATTACCACAAAGAATGCTTATCCTCTTCCATGGACTGAGTAATGTCTTTCCACCTTAGGACAGGCCACATTTGTCTTCAAATTCAATCTCACCAGCAGATATTGGCAGATTCCTGCTGCCAAGATGGAGGCTGCTTTCATTACCCCTATTACATTGTGTCAGTTCAGAAAGGTGCCCTTTAGGAAGAACACCCCCCCCCCCAGCCATGTTCCAGAGGAATGGAACACTGCTTCAAGGACATGAAACCTAATCTAACCTAAATGAAAAAAAAAGTTTTGGTTTTTGGATATACGTTATAGTCATACCTGGGAACTTTAAAAAAATCAGTGGTCTAAGAATGGGGGTCGGACAGTGGGCAGAGTAGGGGAGAGGCCTATTCAGCAATGCTGAAACATAATTAATGGGTGTGGGGGATGTGCCAAAATAGTGCAAATAGTTCTGGCATACTGCAGTGGTGCAGTGGAT